TGTAATTTTAATTTAATAAATATTTGCCTTTTTAAATCCTGTCCTAAAAAATACTTACACTTGCAAATCATGTAGAATATCTTCTCGGCTTTAACACTGTATAAATGCCTTTAGATTAGGGTGAGAAATGCCAGTAACATGAAGCAACTTTGCAAAGGGCTCACTGATAGCTGCTCCTTTCCGTGGCCTCCCTTGTCTCTTTATGTAACTTACTGAGACAGGTGGGTGACATTTTCTGTTGTACATAAGTATGAGGAGCCCACACGTATTTACCAAAGAATTTTCTATTGGAATTATTTGGGTAATTTGGATCCAGTCCCATGTGGGTCCTGGTTTGTAGGCTAGGGAGAAAAAAAATCCATCCAGTGTTACTTAGATTGCTGTGTCTCCCCTTAAAGATCAAACGGAGTAGTAAAACTGTATTGAAGTATTAAAGAGGGTAGTAAAGCCGGTAATTTCTGTATTAAGGGTTCATTGCAAGTACTTGTATATTGGTTTCTGTAAGGTCTGGCAGCTATGACTGTGACTTCTCTCCAGAGTTATCTTACCACAGAGCAATCTTTTGTACATCATTCATGATCTGTGAGTCTGGAATTTAAAAACATTGGGTTGGAAAATGTGGAATTCACCTGTAAATATATTTGAAACTTTTAGTCATATTTTTCTGAGGGGGGGGATGTTTTTAATAGTGATGAAATATACATGTATTTATATTTCTTCTTTTTTAAAAAAGAGAAGTCATTGTAGTATTTTTCTATATAATCAGAGTCAGCCAAACACGAAAAGGCAAAGGTAATAAATGAGGGCAATGCCAGCATGTTGCCGCCCCCTAGTGGGCAGCCGTAGATTGCCAGAGTCATCTTGGAAACAATGGAAACTTTTGGAAATGAGCATAGAAAAAGGCAAGGTGGAAAGACAAAACAGACTTCCTCAAAATGGAGAAAAAAGACAAATTCTGAGATAGTGAAAAGAGTTGACTAATTTATTTTGTAACTTTCAAAGGTCAGGGAGGAGCTGTGAAAAGACAGTCATGAAAACCCAATCATTATCATGCCCGAATTGAGCTAAGCACTTGTGAAAGTTCATTGACATAATGTACCAACTCCATGAAGTAGGTTCTATTTATTTTCCCCATGTCTGATATAGTGATACTGAGATTTCACAGTTTAAATAACTGGCTTGGAGTCAATTAGCCACTTCATAATGGACTGACTGACTCCAGTCTAAATTTTTAACTATTTCATACTATTTCTATGTTCTCTTTAAATAATCATTGTAATCTTTGTAACTAATAATAATACTTTCAACATGAGTTCTTCTTTCATTGAATCTCTGGGAATAAATAAATAACTTCTTTATATATAAAAAAGACATAATATGCTTCTAATATTTTGAAAACTGTGTAATATTAATTATTTTCACCACTACATAGAAACATTAAAAATTTTGATTTTAAAATACCATTACTGGGTTGAATCTGTCTTCAGAGCATTGAAAATATTGCATTACTTAAAAGCAGACTTGATTCAAGATGCTCTAATTTCAGGGGTGAGATAAATGTATTCATTATATGTGGGGAAGCATAAAGTGATGTTTTGTCTTTTCTAAGTGATATACCATGGATACACCTTCTTCATTATAAAGTGGTCGCTAGGAAACAGGGACCAGACACTTTAATCTAAATTCCTATTTTTAATGACTGTTTATTAATGGTTTAATGGTTACAGAGAAGCTTCTAGAACATTTATTTTTATACCCACATTTTTCACCACAACATTATACAGGAATTTCTGGCTGATTCTCTCCTCTTCCTCAAAACCCAGACTGAAATCACATAAGTGGAAGAAATAGGTGTCTTTCCTCTTACCAAATGGAAGACTTGTTTCTGTCTTTACTTACACATTTCACAGTTGTCTGAACCCAAACCACACAGGCTGAAAGAGAAACATAAAGATTTAGCTTGGACAAACATTTGCTCTATAAAGTAATTGTTACTAAATACTTTTGGATCAACAAACTGGTAACTTTCAAATGGTTTTGAATGATATTTCTGCTAATGTAAAATTGGCAAGTTTAGTCTGTTTCAATAAATGCATTGGGAGCCCAGGAAAATATTATCTAGGAGAATTTTATTAACTAATAAAGCTCTGAATGATTTCAGCTCTTCTGGTTAACCTCTCTCTCAACAGTCTTTTATTTCATGCATGCTCGTGATATTATATTAGTTTGGCCAAAAATTGCTTTTATTAATTAGTTTTACATTTTGTTTTTAATATTACACAGTTTTATATATTTTTGTTTGTTACTTACAAAATAAGTATTTAATAATTCTTGGTATAAGTGGAATAGAGGATATGACTTATTTTCACATCTGTGGGATGTATTTTAATGTTCACTAATTTTAGAAGAAACACATAGTTGAAAAATAACCTTTTTTTCCAACCTGAAATTCCCACAAAATATTCTCAATATCTGATATGTTGAGATAATGTAAGATTTGTGGCTATGTCCTAATGT